GGACACCCATGCACAATGGAATCTGACCATTGTGGTCTATAGGGTTTTTAATGGTTGATTTTCAGAAGTCAATTGCCAGGCTTTTCTTCCTAATCCATTTTAGTCTGCAAGCTCCACTGAAACCTGTTCAGTATCACAGGAATTCGCAATCTCCACTTGCTATGCTAAGGTACACTGGGGCCAAGGATAGAACCCAGGTCTCCCACATGGAAGGTGAGAATTCTACCACTGAACCACCACTACCCTTCTCTCAAAGAGTAGGTATGTCCTTCTTCATCCACATTTAAGTTTACTAAGGTAGAATGCTAAGCAGATAAGCAGTTATGTCTTTACAACTTCAGCTAACTAGGTAAACAACTACTGAATTAAAACATACCCTCGTGGACTTCAACTTGCTCCTTTACTCATGTGAACCGCCACTGAAATTCAACGCCTTGGGAATCTGTTTGATATAGACAGAGACTGGAAGGAAAAAAAAAATTCCAAATAGAAAAATAATAATTCAAATACCACAAATCCAAACCCTCTGGAAATCAATCTCCTCCTTTATACTAGAGTTTCAATTCAACAAACATGTATCAGGTGATGTGCAAAGTCTTAGAAATTAGATGAGGCTCTGGGGAGGCAATGGGAATGAGTCTTTGAGAAGACTGCACTTTGTTTCAGAGGAGACATGTAAGGCAATAACTCAAATACGGGTGACACTGTAATATTAAAAGTATGTGCACTCTCACAAATAAACAAACATCTCGAATATGACATAAGAGGCAACTCACATAAGAAAAAAAATACAGTCAAGAGATCAGAACATTGTTTGCCTGTCAGATCAGTATATATTAAAAAGGCTGATAATACCCAATGTTGGTGAGAGGTGTGGGGACATGACCACTCTCTTACATTGTTACTGGGTTACTTTTTGTACAGGGCAATTTGAAAACCTGGGCTTTTAAAACTGCATATTCTTTGACCTAGCAATTCTCCTGGTTTCACTGTGTAGGTAGATTGTGGTTCTACTAACCACAAGAAGAAATGTAAGAGAAAATTTCAATTTCAGGGAAATGATCATTTTGGTTTAGTAGAATAAATTTCAGATTCCTACAATATATTCAAGGAGAAATGTCGAGCAGGCAGTTGGACATATACCAATTAGCAGTTAGCCAGGGTGTACACTAGTCTTGCATATATTAGTTCATTTAATCCCTTCAAATCTCAAAGTAGTATGCACTCCGTGGCAGGATCAGTATTCAAAAACAACCCTTAATCCAAAGCTCTTACTCAATATGCTACTCAGCCTCCACAGGTTTGGCACCTGGCAGAAAGGTTAAAGGTCAGGCAGAAATGCAGATCTGCAAGTTTAGCTTTCATTCATACATTTATTCAACAAAAATCTATTAGGTACTTAATGTTGGATCTAAGGATACCAAGAAAATAAAGTTAAATCTTCCTCACTTGGAGAACCACTCTAGAGACAAACACATTGCAGTATGATATGAGAGTGCTAACAGAAATAGTTAAAGGAATAATGGTAACCCCAAAAGAGGGAGAGAGTGGCCAATTCTGCATTTGGGGAAGAGTCATTATTAGGGAAAGTTCTAAAAAAGAGAAGACAATGCTTGATCATGATTTTGAAGGATGAGTTTTTTTTTTTTAAATTCCCCAAGTGGATGGGGGAGATAGGAAAGGAGAGTCTTCCAGGTAAAGGGAGTAGCATACACAGATACACCAAAGGTCTAAAACAGTGTGGTCAATTCAAAGAAATCCATGTAGGTCACCATAATGATAAGTAGACAGTGCCCTTCTGCCATCCCAGTCTCTACCCCTATCCCTCTCTCCTCCAAATGCTACAAAACAGGACACAGGAGATAGAACATTTTCTGCTCTCTTGAGTCTCATTTCCCAAAGAAAGGATCTAACTCTTCCAACCTCCCCTACAACCTGAGGGTTGCAAGGACGAGTGGCCTCTGTCACCGAGCACAAGAAGCAGCAATACAGTAACCACCCTATCTAAAACGCCCCAACAGCATCACTCTCGACCAACCTACTCAGCCTTTTGTTATCTTGGTAGCATTTATTACTGCCTGAAATTACAATACCTGCCTATTCTTTTACTTGTTTATAACCTGTCTCCCTCCTTAGGCTATAGTTCAAATCAAGATAACATTTCATTTGTATAATACATTAAATATTTTCTTTAATATTTAATAATGTTTTCAAACTCTGTTTTCTAATGCTGTAAATAGCATTCCTAGGGCCACAATTTTTTTTTCATTGAGGCAAAAATTTAAAACAAAATATATCCCCAAAATTAAATCCCAAATAGAATTTAACTCTATTCCTACCCAGATATTTCATTAGCATATCTTTTGACCAGAGAACAAGCTAGCCACTATGGATAATGTGTTATTCTAACTACATATGGATGTTTTTGTTTCTATGAATCAATCCATTCCACGGTTAAGGAAAAATTTCCAAGACCTGCTAATAAGATAAAATGTCTAAGGGAGGCAAAACAAAAAGTGACTGATGTATTATAAAAACAAACAGCACATTACATCAGTATGGAAATAGTAGCTATTTTGACAGAAGTCACCATTTTTTAAATTAGTATCACTGATGATAGTTAACTCATGGATATCAGGCTCTTGCAAAACTGCACACTACATGAAATATTTGGGAAGGTAATATCTTTTCGGAGGGGGCTCTGGTGGTACAGTGGTTAAAGCACACAGTCGGCTGCTAACCAAAAGGTCAGCAGTCGGAACCTACAAGCCGTTCCACGCGAGAAAGATGTGGCAGTCCACTTGTGTAAAGATTACAGCCTTGGAAATCCTATGGGGCAGTTCTACTATGTCCGATAAGGTCACTATGAGTTGGAATCGACTCAACTACAGTGGGTCTGTTTTCTTTCTTTTGGTTTTAATATCTTTTCGGATCCATTTATTCAACTGGTCATTTCACTTTAGAGCTCTTTTGAATCACCTATCATTATTTCTGTCCCTGAGTAGCACAAACGGTTAAGCACTCAACTACTAACTAAAAGGTTGGCGATTTCAACCCACCCAGAGATGCCTCAGAAGGAAAGTCTGGCAACCTGCTTCCAAAAGGTCACAGCCATGAAAACCCTATGGACGGACCACAGTTCTGCTGTGAAACCATATAGGGTCACCATCAGTCGGAATCAACTCGATGAAAACTGGTTCGGTTTTGGTATCACTATTTCTAGAATCCCAGGTTTCGGGCTGCTGTGTCACAGATGATGGTCTATCTTTAGCATTTTAAGAAAGATACAGGGAACCACTACCACAAGCTTAGTAATGCCATCACTAACCTGATTAAAGGTTTGGACACAAATGGTAGATCAAGATTCAAGAAGCAATTTTCACGAGTCCAAATATTCTGAAAAAATTTACCGTTACAATGAATCTCTTTTAAGACAAAATAATGAGAATTCAATTAAGACCTAATGTTTCCTTGTCAAATCCATTTCTCAATATAAATATCATGAAAAAATTACACAATAGATCCAATCTACTCTTTTTTTTTTTTTTAATATAGGAGTTACAAAAAGAAGCCTTTAACCCCTCTAAGGATAAATTTATGTTCCTCGGTCAAGTTTTAACACCAATAAATGGAGGACTTGCATGTAACCCCTAAAAGGAGATATCCTGAAACTACCAACTGTGCTACAACTTTTTAACTAAGCATTTTATTTAATCACACTCATATAACAGGGCAATTTACTTAAAGGTGAATTTTTTTACAATATGAGATATAAACATAAAATTATTTAACCAATACTGCCATTTCTCAAAAATATTTTGGTACTGCATATCTGAGAACTTTTTCTAAGTTGGTTTATAAGCTATGGTCTTTCTAACTGTACAAATGGACATTAATCTAATAAAACTTCAATTTATTCATAGGTAATAATCATCAAATGAATGTGCTAACTGGCAAGATTCTTTTTGTTTATATTAAGCATTCACTGATGGCCCAGCAACCCAAAAACTGCATTCTCTTTCTAGGATCCCACTGGAATCTGGTTAACGAGATCTATACCACTGGTAAAGTACTCCTTAGAAAAAATCAATTAAGATTTAATCAGAATTTATTATCATTGCAAGCCTTAACAGCCAGTTTGTGGTCATTTGTTATCACCAGGCTTTCAATACTATGAATTAAAAAAGAACATCCTCTTTGGAAAAATGGGAACCAACCATCTCATCTAAAAATAAAACGGGCATTTCTTCACATACAAACAAAATCAAGGTGGCCATGCACAAGGCCTCAACCGATCAAAGAAAAGTGCAACGGCCATAAGATCAACAAGGAAATGCATCTCACACAAACAATAGTTAATGCTTGTTACGAAGGCTGATCAAGTGAAATTAATAGAACCACTAAAGAAAAGCAGAAAACAAAACTCTTTATATGAAGGGTCCAAGAGTCAAAGATTCCAAACTTATTTTCAACAGCCAGTAGTATTCTAGCCTGCCCATCACTAGGCCAAACAGCTCATGTCATGTCACCCCCACTAACATCCTCATATTCTAACCTCACAGATAGATCAGGAGGAACCTGGTTACAAATCAGTCTGCGCTTTCAGGATCAGCACAGTCCTGCTACCTCTAAATGAGCCCTCTTTTAATTTCTTATTACACAAGAAAATCATTCATAAGCCCACCAGTCGAACATAAATAATCATACTATTAACATTTTGATGTACTAAAAATGGGCATTTGCTCAAGGTTTTTCTCTATAACACATCCTTCATCTTCCTTCTACTTACTTGCCTCCTAAGCATCCCAGTACTGAACTACCCTGACATCCATTATACCCCTCACCAAGAGAACACCTTCTGAGGTAGCTGCACAGTGGTGTTCCTGGATAGAACCCTCTGGTGCTGTGCTGACAGCCTGCCATGCCCTCACTGGCCAGTGCGCCAGCACCCCCGTGGACCCGTGTCCAGTGGGTGGCACCTCCTGCAAAACATAACTTACCGTGCCGGGCATATGGCTCTTCTCGTGCTTGCCATTCTGAGAGCCGCTGTTTTTGAGTTTCTTCTTCTTTTTGGCCATTTCTTTGTGCTCTTTCTGTTTGTTTTGCACTTCAATAAGAACAGAAATGAAGCTGTTTTTCACTTCCTTTTCAAACTCCAGTTCATCTCGCAGGGCCAACTGCTGCACCAGCTCTTCAGAGTAATCCTTAATGGCTGTCTCAATTGCTTCCAGGAGCTCATTTAATTCAGATACTGAGAGCCTTTTCACTCCTGTGACCGAAAAACAAAGCACAGCAGACACTAAGACAAAAATGCTCAAGGGAGCACAACAGGGTATTTTATGCCAAAGAGCAAAACTCATATTCTTAGCAATTAAATTGACTGGTCATGACCTTCTTAGGATCCAAACACCTCTGGGGGCAGGTCTGAGTAGAGGCAGGGGGGCCAAGTCACTTCTCAAATGGCTGAGAAGAAAAGTCTAACAAAATTGTTTACTTGTCTAAATCAATCATTCCATGAATAGTACTTCAGTCAAGACTGAAAATGCTTATACAAGAAAAAGAACAAACACAAAAGCAGGGGGATCGTACAGAAGCTACCTGCTAATTATAAACTGTGAGCAATTTAGCAAGGTTCTGGAACACTTCTGAAGAGAGAAGCCAGACTGAAAGAATTAAACAGAATACATATTTAATCACACATCCCAATGTGTGAATTTTTGTTCAAGATTGGGAAAATGAACGGGAAAAGTATCCCCTGGAGACTCCATTTCAGCTTTTTCTCAGTACTTCTCCTCACATGAGGATTCCCTGGGTGGTACAAACGGTTAAGTGCTCAAGTACTATCCAAAAGGTTGGGAGTTCAAGTCTACCCAGAGGTGCCTCAGAAGAAAGGCCTGGCAATCTACTTCTGAAAGGTAACAGCCACTGAAAACCCTATGGAGCACAGCTCTACTCTGACACACATAGGGTCACCATGAGTCAGAATCAACTTAACTACAACTGTTTTTCTTTTTTCTTTTTCCCTTCTTCACGTGAAAGAGACTCATCAACATTAAGCCCACATCTACAGCGGCATGGTCAAATCAGACCATCCGAAAGAATACAGTCTGTCTGACCATCCATGGGTTGAAAAGAAGCCACACAAATCAAAGTAGCATTAGAACAACCCAAAGGGACTGCAGCAACCAAACTCCAGACCTCAGGTCATGTCACAGAGATGAAACTAGGTGCCTACATGAGTTGAGCAGATAAGGACCCCATCACTGCCTACTCAAGGGAAGGCCAGCCATACGGCAAAGACTAGATGCACACTCAGTAACCAGCCTTGGGTTTATCGTGGGCTGGTTACAGTTATTCAGAAACCTTTCATGATAATCAGCTGCACAGTTTTTATGGCTCATTATTCTCACGTACATCAAACAGATCCACAGATCCTAAAATTCTTCATAGTAGCAGAGCAGTCAACCATTTGTACAAACAAGAATTATGACAGATTAGATTCACCCACTCAATATTTTCAACAAATAATTAACTAGTTGCCATTGAGTCAATTCCAATGCATGGTGAACCCAAGTGTGTCAGTGTAGAACTGTGCTCCAGAAGTTTTCAGTGGCTGATTTTCTGGAAGCAAATGGCTAAGCCTTCCTTCTGAGGCACCTCTGGGTGGAGTCGAACCTCCAACCTTTTGGTTAGCAGCCAAAAGTGTTAACTGTTTGGACCACCCAGGGACTCCAACAAATAATGACTGAGTATCTATTCTACACTATGCACAGGGATAGGCAACAGGGTTAAAGGTGAATAAGACACAGTCCCTGAGCAATGACAAAATTATGCCCAGAGTATTATTCGAGGAGGAGGGAAGGTACAGCCTGTGAGAATCAAAGCTTTCTGGAGATAGTGTGACTACATGTTCGATATATACAGCAAACACAAAGAGCACTGTTTTAAGTAGGGCTTCTTACTCTCTTCATAACTGCTTGTACTAGATCTCTTAAGGGTCTGAATTTCCTGGGAAAGCACTGACAGCCGATCGGACTGTGTGGGGGTTTCATCATCTTCTGGGTCCGGGGATTCCTGCATCATTTCTTCAATTTCTTCAATAACCTTCAAAAATATACACACCACTGTTAATCAACTATACAAAGGAAAAACGATCTGTCTGTAATGTGGCATTCACCTGAGGGAACCAGAAGAGAAGTGTACTAAATCCTCCATTAATCAACAGTGTGCAGGAGCAAGTCTTCTAAATAATCAAAATTTTGATCGTAAGAGTGAATGTGGTTTATCAGTTTTCAAAAAAAACTAACAATATACTAAACACAAAATTAAACAGAATATGATTTAACATGCCCACCATGATTCAGTCCCTACCAGATCCTACAGTGTCTGAGAAATAAATGGTGCTATAAACATACATAAAATTTACTTCCAACATTCCAGAACCAGATCATAAAGTTACAGTTAAAAGAAAGCAAAGAACAGAAAGTTTACCATATACCACATGCAAGCGCTCAATCGAAAACTATTTAACCAAACTGACATAAAATTTAGAAAATACAACAGTGTAAACAACTTATACATAAAGCAAGAAATTACCTTTACGACAGCAAAACTTTCCTTTAACAGCAGAAAAAGAATTTCATATATTAATTCAGTGACAGTTAAAGGGATATTTAAAAATTACATAAAATGTAGAAGCTTAAAGAGAAAAAAAATGCACAAAAGCAGGAAGTTTTCATAAACACATCTGCCTTTTAAGCAATAAGGAAATTTACTATGATACGCACTCTTGCTCAACTCCTAAACAGTATCTTGCCCTGTTTCAGAGTCTAAAAGTGGAGAAGGATATGGAACTCAGTGAAAATTTACAGGAGAGCCAGAAAAATTATTCAATAAATAGAAAATAGGACCTCAGAGTTAGGGGAAAAAACTATTAAAGAAAATACAATTAAATAAAGGAGTAAAATAACACAAGCATATTTAACTGTTTTATGAATCAGCAAGTTTAACAGGTAATACTTATCTGAGGGAAAAAAGTAAACCTGAAGCAGGCGGGATTATGTTAATTAGTGGGAAACCAAAAATCAAACCCCTTGCCATGGAGTCAATTCCGACTCACAGCAACCCTACAGGGCAGAAAAGAACTGCTCCAAAGGGCTTCCAAGGCTGTAATCTTTAGTGGAGCAGACTGCCACATCTTTCTTCCACAGAGCAATTAGCGGGTTTGAACTACCGACAGAGGCATAGCGAGGGTTAATGAGCACAAACGCAGGCCCCCCTCTTGTGCAGCTGACTTGCTCAGGCCGCCTTTCACATTTATGGTGCCTTAGAATGTCATTCCACGCCTCATCTGGTGTCCCCTTGGTCTTGCACCTGGGGGCAAATGCTCCCCTCTGCACCCCCCCTCCCTACGTCCCTGACCACTGACTTTCTGGTTAGTAGCCGAGCACTTAACCACTGTGCCACCAGGGCTCCTTAATGCGGGAAGATTTTCCAAAATAGGCATTGTTAAGTACAATGACACCCTGAGGGAAGCTGCAGAATCTGTCTCTCTAAGTCTTAAAAACAGGGATGGCTTATGGTGCTCCAGCAGATTGCTGAGGGGACAATGAACTCTCGGGTTCACTTTGCCTGGAATACACCTCAAGACACCGCTCTGACCTATTATTACCTTGCTTTTTGCACCACACTCTTTGCAGCCTAGAACAATCCAACCACAAATATGACTAAGAAGCACTCAAACGATACAGCGACAACACAGGGACATGTGGTGTTCTTCTTCCTGGTTTCTCTTTAATGTACTCTTCCCAACCTTGCCATAGTAAATGTCTTCACTGACCTTGCCATTGCAGCCTAAAAATACTGTGGTAGAATTCACAATCCGAGTGGCCATGGAACATTTTATTTCAGAAAGCAGTTCTTGCATCACACTGTGACACCCCAACAGAGGTGGGAAGAGTATTCAGAAAATGAGAAAGCTGACTCAACTAGTTCAAAATGAACACAGGGTTGACACTATTAGCGCATTCCAAAGGAATAATGTTCACTTATTTCTAGGGTACACAAACATGTACTTCTTTTTTTTTAAACTATTTTTTTGTAGTTTAAGTGAAAGTTTACAATTCAAGTTAGTCTCTCATACAAAAACTTACACATACATTGTTATGTGACCCTAATTGCTCTCCCTGTACTGTGAAAGCACACTCCTCCTTTCCATCCCTGATTTCCGGTGTCCATTCAACCAGCTCCTGACCGTCTCTGCCTTCTCATCTCACCTCTGGACAGAAGCTGCCCGTTTAGTCTCATGTATCTATTTGGGCTAAGAAGCACACTCTTCACAAGTATCATTTTATGTCCCACAGTCCAGTCCAATCTTTGTCTGAAGAGTTGGCCTTGGGAATTGTTTTCGTTCTGGGTTGACAGAGAGTCCGGGGGCCATGCTTTCCGGGGTTCCTCCAGTCTTAGACCATTAAGTCTGGTCTTTTTACTAGAATTTGAGTTCTGCACCCCACCCTTCCCCCACTCCATCAGGGACTCTCTCTTGTGTTCCCTGTCAGGGCAGTCATTAGTGGTAGCCGGGCACCATACTTCTAATAAATACTAATGACTTTTACCCAGGGTTTTATAGAAACTACATGATTTCTACACAGATATATTGTCATTGGCCCATGTTTAGCTAAATCTAAAGAAAGTAGGAAATCACAATATATTTTCTGATTTGTTTAAGCAACAAGCCTCCCTCAGTAACTTGCAGTATACTATTTAACAATGCCTATTTCAGAAAATCTTCTCAACTAACATAATCCCATCTGCTTCAGACAACATGTACTTTTTTTTTATGGAAGAGATAGCTGTTAAGCCTATAAACCATAAAATATAGGAAAAATAAGTAAATTCTCACAGCCCATAACCTATTCCACGCTAAGAGATCCTTTTTCAGCTCTGATTCCCTTTTCCTTTTGTTGAGGGGGGGGTCTCCCTTCTACCTGATCTGCAGTGAAGAGAGGCTCCTCGCTGACACAGGAGACAATGATTGAATGCATATCCAGTTGTTCTCGAAGTTCCTCATCATCTGATGTATCAAAGAACAAACTGTCACTGATCTAAAAACAAAAATACACACTGTTAAAAGCAGGCCATTCTGATCACAACAAAGTCAGTCTCTAGGAAAATGAGTCCGCGGAAGAAAGCATCTGACAAGAGCATTTCCTTGAAAGAGAACTATTACAGTCACTAAGTTACTCAGCTACGGACCAGGCCGTGTGTGAAGTGCTGTACATAGCTCATCACCAACAGAAACAAGAGGAACATAGATTAAACATAAAATTGTTAAGTTGCTGCATACATCCCCTATTGCCCAATATAGATAGGTACATAGCTGTTTTTTTCCAGGGAGGAAAGAGTGCTGTAAAAGCTGACTGAGAAGTAGGAAGAAATATGGTGTTCATTAGCAAGTTGTAGTGACAGGGAATTAAAGCAGATAGAGCGGGGAAGGAGTCCTGGCTGCACAGAGGTTAAGAGCTTAACTGCTAACGAAAGGCTGGCAGTTCGTAATCCACCAGCCGCTCCTTGGAAACCCTATGAAGGCAGTTTTCCTCTGTCCTATATGGTCGCTATGAGTCAGAATCAACTCAAAAGCAACAGCTTTGGTTTCTTTTGTTTGTTTTTATTTTAGAGGGGTGAAAGGCAAGTTTAGCAAAAAGAAAACCACACCTAAACACATCACAGTGAAACTGTAGAACAGTGGAGACTAAAATAAGATCTTAAAAGCCAGCAAGATAGAAAAGAGTGATTCCTCTGTAAAAAATAAATTTAATGAAATAAAGATATAAAAAGGCACGTTTAACAAAAAATGTCAGCTTTCAGTATGGATTAAACCTCAACATAAAGAAAATAAAAATCCTCACAACTGGACCAATAAGCAACATCATGTTAAATAGAGAAAATACTGAAGTTGTCAAGGATTTCATTTTACTTGGATCCACAATCAACACCCATGGAAGCAGCAGTCAAGAAATCAAATGACGTACTGCATCAGGAAAATCTGCCATAAAAGACCTCTTTAAAGTGTTAAAAAGTAAAGATGTTGAGGACTAAGGTGCATCTGACCCAAGTCATGGTGTTTCAATTGCCTCATATGCGTGTGAAAGCTGGGCAATGAATAAGGAAGACAGAAGAAGAATTGATGTCTTTGAATTATCAGGGTATTAGTGAAGAATACTGAATATACCATGGACTGCCAAAAGAACAAACAAATCTGTCTTGGAAGAAGTACAGCCACAGTGGTCCTCAGAAGCAAGGATGGCGAGACTTCGTCTCACATACCTTGGATACGTTATCAGGAGGGATCAGTCCCCGGAGAAGAACATCATGCTTGGTAAAGTAGAGGGTCAGCAAAAAAGGGGAAGACCCTCAATGAGATGGATTGACACAGTGGCTGCAACAACAGACTGAAGTATAACAACGATTGTGACCAGGCAGTGTTTCTTTCAGCTGTACATAGGGTCGCTGTGAATCAGAGGAACTGACTCCATGGCACCTAACAACAAGACAAACATTTCACTAACTGACATTAGGTACGAACCGTACCTAACTGTTCTGACTTACACGCAAATTCGACTTAAAGACAGACTTAGGAATGGAACTCATTCGTAATCTGGGGACTGCCTGTATATATGTACTATACCATTATACTCCTGGCAGCGTAATCACTTTGTTTAGTACAAGACACATTAGATACACAAGTTGCAGGGGGGAAACTGTTGGGTTCACTACATCTGGTTACACCCATTATGTCCCATTCTGCAATCGAGATTTCTGAACTCTATTATAACCTTACAGGACCATGGACATATATGACATCAGACATTGCCAAAATGGACATTATGCAGCACACACCTGTAGAAGAAAAAACGACCAGAAATAGTAGGAGTGTGGTTTCTTACCTAAACTGCAAAATATTTTCAAACCCAACAATACAGAAAGAAAGCTAGATAAAAGTCAATTATAGCTGCCATGATGCAATAACCTGAAAGGGTGGTTCATTCATGCAATAAATAGTTGCTGAGCACCTCCTATATGCCTAGTATATGTGTAAGCTGCCAGGGACACAAGAGTCAAGAAGTCACTGTTCTATTGTTCTTTCCCTCAAGGATCTCACATGCTCGTGTAGGGAAATTAAACAAGAAAACAGGTAATTTCAATGTATTGGCATAAGTAAGTACTCTAACAAGAGGAGCACCCAACCCAGATGGGGGTGGGAGAGAGCAGAGAAAGGGGTTTAATACACCTGTTAAACCCGCTGTCGTCTAATCGACTCCAACTCATAGTGACCCTACAAGACAGAGTAGAACTGTCCCATAGGGTTACCAAGGAGTGACTGGCAGATTCGAAGTGCCGACCTTTTGGTTAGCAGCTGAGCTCTTAACCACTCTGCCACCAGGGCTCCAGTTTACTACACAGTAGATATCAAAGCATGTTTCCTGGTTCATGTTACGCCAGAGCCTGTAACTAAAGGATGAGTAGGAGATAGCTAAGGGGAGGGAGTGGACATTCTAGTCGAAAATATAGCACGTAAAGTTGCCCATTGTGAGAAAGGGAGGAAACGCCAAGGGTACAAGGAAAATATGGAGCATTCATGGGTCTTCAAATATTTCATACAGTAAGAGAAGAAGTTTGGTGGATGGGGAAAAGAGAGTGGGTTGACTTGGGAGGGAACAGCAGGAACTCAGGACAATAATATCAGAGAAGAAAAATAGAAAAGAAAATAGGGAAGGGTGCTCTAAGTCAAAGGAAGATAGCATTTTAAAGAGAAATTAGTCAATAAATTTCAAATGCTATAGATAAATCAAATAAGAACTTTAAAAATAATGGTATCCTTGATTAAGCAGTTGTAATAGTATGGTGAAGGTGAAATAGAATGGGTCAAAAATTGAACAGAAGGTGGCAACACTTTCAACAAATGTGACTATGGAGGAGAAAGGCACTAGGATAATGGCTGACAGGGGCACAAGTAGGTAGGACTGAAGAAGGGTCTGGTTAAGATAGGAGAGATGCTTGAGACTACCTAACTGATGATGAAGGTAAAATGCTGGTAGTGAAGGAAAAGCTGAAGATAAAGGATAAAAAGAGGGGCTCAGTGATACAATGAAATCTTCCTATATAACAGGATGAATTAAGATGGACAGGCAGGGAGGGACACAGTTGATTACGGCTGAGATAGTCTGATGGCTTCTATTTTCTCAGCGAAGGAGAGGAGATCGTCCCCTGAGAAAAATGGTGAAGGTGATGGGGCAGAAGGTTTTAAGAGAACAGAGAAGGACTGCAACAGCCATTCTAGAGAAAGGTGGCCAAGGGAATACAGCATTATAGGCCAGCTAAGAACGCAGACCATGAATTCACAGTGGCATCAATCTAGAGTTGTATGATTTCCTCCGAAGGTATCCAGCAGCCTATGTTTTGGTGCAGAGAAGGCAGACAAATGGAATGATCCAGGGCTGGGATGTTGCTGGGCAGGTGTGAGAGAAGAAGAATGGGCAAGGGAATCAAGGATAATGGTGATGAACAGATAAAGTGATGGGTTATGATTTTAGACTGGAAAGAGAAAAATGACAAGAGGAGGGGCCTGATAAGTAGACAGAACAAGGGTCGACTTCTGGTTAAACAAGGTTCTGAAGACATGGATTTATCTTGTTCTCTCCAAAAATGCCATTAAAATAATTTAAAAAGTATAAATCCCCCAAGACAAAGGGAGTAAGAGGGCAGATGTCAGCAGAAGAAGGATATGTGCAATATTCTAGAGACCGGAGAGGAGATGAATGTATGCTAACTGACCTAGCCAAAAGCCAGGCCTGCCAAGGGAAGCCAACAAAAAGCAAGCAGAGACTCTCAAAAAAAAAAAAAAAAACCAAAGGGCAAAGAACTTGAGTACACATTTCACCAAAGAGGATATTCAAATGGCCAACAATAAGATACCAGCTCACTCCCACTAGAATGGCCAAGATAAAAACAGAAAAGTAACAAATATTGGTGAGGATGTGAGGAAATTGGGATCCTTATCCATTGCTGGTGGGAATGTAAAATGGTATAACCACTGTGGAAAACAGTATGGAAGTCCCTCAAAAAATTAAAAATAGAACTATCATATGACCCAGCAATTCCCATTCCTAAGCATATACCCAAGGGACTTAAAAGCCGTGACGCAAATAGCCGTATGAACACCAATATTCATTCCAGCACTATTCACAATAGCCAAAAGGTGGAAACTTAAATGGCCATCAACAAACGAAAGGATAAACAAAATACGGTACATACATACAAGGGAATACTACTCAGCCCCTGAAAGAGAAATGAAATCCTAATACATGCTATAACATGGATGAACCTCAAAGACATGCTGAGTGAAATAAGTCAATCACAAAAGGACAAATATTGTATGATCTCACATATATGAAACAACAAGAATATACAAATGTATAAAGACCAAAGTTTACTAGTGGTTACCAGGGGCAGGAAGGGGGAGGGTGGAGCCATTGTTTGGAAAGTAGTGAATTTCTGTTTATGTTGATGGGAAATCTGGCATTGATTAAGGGTAATGATTGCATAACATGATTAATGTAATTGGTATCACTAAGTTATACATGTCAAAAAAAATGCTGAATTGGCAATATTGTATTACATATTTTTTACAAAAAAAGAGAGAGAGAGCAGCTGCCGATACTGCTTATATACAACCAAACACCTCATGGGATTTATTTTCTTGGTTCAAAAGTTTAGGGCATGGTTTTGTGAGACATTCCAGTCAACTGGCCTAATACTGTTTTCAGTGCTTCTATTCTACCTCCTAGTTGGTTGTGTAGTGCCTGAGACCTTAAAAGCTTGCCAGCAGCCATCCAAAGTACAACAATTGATCACTATTTATCTGGAGCAGCAAAGGAACGAGAGTCAGGAATAGGAGAAGAAAGTGGAATGAGTGTCTAATTGCCTCCATCAACAACTGCCTCCTTAGCCAAGAGATCAAAAGCACTGGATGGTGCCTGGCTACGATTACGGAGACTATTTTGATCAAAGATTCCATAGAAGTATCCTGATCAAAGGGAGGAAA